TTGTGTGTTCCGGAACATGCAAAGAAAAACTGTTGCAACCGTCCTGTGACCGAGTGTACGTATTTATTCGGGAAAAAATGATTATACAGGGTGTCCCAAACTAATCCCGATTTCCGTGATGTGCAAGTAGAAACTGAGCAGAAAAATCATATAACATTTTGCAAAATTCGCAATTAGTAAGGAATTAATTATTTTGTCTGAACTAATGAGCAGGAAGGGATAGGCTAGATTAGTACTAGGCTAGATCTGTATAAAGAAAATGGCTTACTTTTGAAATATATATGTATATGATTATACATAATTATATAAAATTATATATGAATTTTGCTCATATATGTGGTTAGATATATGTCCATACGAAAAAAATGATATTATGTCATTGAATTAAATGTCGATGTCACGTGCTGTCAGAAGCACAAGTAGCCAGAAACATTTACTTCGATTATATTTCCATATAATTTGTAAATAACAGTATTTTTTCGTTATGGACATATATGATTATATATAGTCGTATATGGGCAAATTTCATACATGATCTTTTTTTTCTCAGAGAAGTGTTGCGGCGCCGAAACGTCGCAGGAAAATGGGGGGGTTGCCCGGTACAGCGCGATAGAGTAGGAGGAGGTGGCGAGGCGCGATAATTAATAAAGAGCTTCTTTTTGATGATTAAAAACTGAACTGGTCGTTTATTATTTGCTTGCCCGATACTATCTTACGTATGCGTCCGACAGCGTGTCGGTGCTCGAGAGTTGAGAGTTAGAGTTGCCCGTTACAATATTGTGCACGCGTTCGACAGAGTGTCGGTATCCGAGAGTTGAGATTGTGAGTCGCGCCCGCTCCGGTCTTACGTTCCTTTTTATCCTCTTCTTATGGCTTAATCAGAGGGGGTGGTTGTTGATGTGTCAGCGTCATCTAAACGAGGACGCTGACCATCCTGATTGCGATATCTCTATTGCGGGAATGCCAGGTTGCATTTCCGCATAGCGATATTTGGCAATTCGGAGCCGTGGCTCCGCGGTAATGTCGTTGACATATTTTATTGTTGCGCTTACAATAGAAGCACTAAGAGAAAAATATTTGGTATTTGTAACTACAATTGTCATTACGGAAGAAAAATTATAGTCAGGGGAACCACTTTTTTTCTAGCAGGGGAGTTGTCAAAATTGACTTACTTAAGATACTTCTCAAATGTTTATGTTATACAGAAAACAGTGTAATTTTAAAGTTTTTCCTATGTTCTCATCTTATATTTATTTTATATATTTATCACTAGATCGCGCTTATATTCAATAATTACAGAAAAAGTCATGAGGTATGATTTAGATGATTACACATTAGGCAACTTTCCCTTATATGGAAGAAAATAATTTTGCTGTTGTAGCGAACTCATCGTTGCTACTTTACATTTTATTATATTTTATATCTATATTTTACATGTGTATTTGTTGCTGCAGCAGCAATATTTAGTTCGCATAACCAAATTAGCGAATTATTTGTAATTAGAACAGAAACAGTTTTGTTGTCAAGATAGAAAATATTCTGCTGAGTGAATTTGTCCTTGGGACACATTTGTCGTTAGAACAAAATAGTGTTTTACCACATTTATTTAATTTGTTTTTGCAGCAAAAAAATTTGTAGACTCAGCAAAAGAATCCAGCGAATAGCAATTAGTATTCTTAACAAAGCATTTTGCTGTCTACGTAATAATTTCCAGATTTTGCTGCGACAGCATAAGATTTGCTGTGCCAGCAAATTATTTTTCTCCGTATAAGTGTTACTATTGTGTCAGTGATAATAATACTACACGCATATTAGTATTACTATTTTTGTGATTAAAACCATACAAAGGATACAGTTGAAGTTGAAAATAACTGTAATTTTTCTCAGTGTATTTATGAAAAACATAGAGAGAAGAAGTGAATTAACTAAATCAAATAAAATCGCCAAGTAACGTAATTTGTTGTTTCTTATCTCTTCAGACGAAAGATAATTCTTCCGTGAAAATATCTTCCCGACTAGAATATTGTATTTTCAAGACACTTTTTTTTTCTTCACCGGAGTTATCGAGCGTCGGCTGGATTTTCCGCATTTACGGTTCTCATGTGCCTCACGCACACCCTCGCCTGCCCACAGCTGATCTTGTTTAATGAGCGCATATAGATAGTTACATAATCTCGTACGTACTAACGAGGTTTCTTTCTCATTCTTTGTCGCCGTTGTCTCCTCCCGCTCTTCCCCTGCGTCGCACAAAGTGCGTTCGAACGATGAGGTCTCCTTACGGGCGATCCATTCGGCGACCTTAAACGTCTCGTCAGGTGCGACTATGAAAGGGCAAGGACACGCATCTCCTCCGATCGATGCCTGTTTAAAGTCGAAAATGTTTCTTCTCACATTCAGTCCCGTTCATGCGGAAAAATCTCTCGCACGTGAGGCCGTCGCATGTGCGACGAGCGTGTGCGCGAGTTAACGTGCAAGGTCGCCGTTACGTCCCTATAATAGAACGCTGCTCGTCGTCGTTACCAGACAGAAATCGTAAATGAAGAGGGGGAGGCGCGAGGGAGGAACCTATCGCGGTAATCCCCTCTCGTTTTTTTAAACAGGAAAATCTAAATCTCACGTGCCTTCACATACAGCACGTACACACACGCGCACGCGTGTATATTCAAACACTCGCGGCTCGTAAATAGAACGTGACTATCTCCCGGCGAAAGTTAGATTGTCATCGTAGAATAATATAAATTTTTTGTTATATTGTGATATAGAAGCGAATTTTATTAACACAACAAAAATATTAATATAATGACAAAATAAATGAAGTAATAAAATAAAAGTTATATTTTCATAGATTCTTATTCGTGTTATATTTTACATGACCCTTTCTCATGTTATATTTTATATGACGTGTTGTTTTGAGTGAATTGCAATATTTTTTTTCTCGTGTTTTTTTTTTGTATTTCTCCATTTTTTCATTCTATGTATTAAATATGAGTGCCATATGAACTATCCGGGAAAAAATGATTATATATGATTATATATAATTATATAAAATCATATATGGATTTTGCCTCTATTCGTGATTATATATATATGATCATATATGTCTATACGAAAAAAAATGATGTTATGTCATTTAATTAAATGTCGATATCATGTGCAGAAGCATGAGTAGCCAGAAATATTTATTTCGATTGTATTTGCATACAATTTGTAAACAGCAGTATTTTTTTGTTGTGGTTATATATGATTACAGATGATATATGGGCAAATTTCATATATGATCTTTTTTTCTCGGGTATTTACGAAGGATGCAAGTTTTACAAGTTACGAATAATAAAGCTACTGCCAAATTTATGTACAGTCGGTGTTATGTGCGTTGTACACGAAAAAAAGGAATTAACCATATAATACAACTGAAATTTAGATACCAGATTCAGCTTTTAGCTGTGGGACCTAAACCTACAGGGACAAGAAGTTAGTTAAATCAACTAAAGTTGCATTATATGGATAATTAATTTTTACCTGTGGATACTAGTTTTTAACTAATTTTTAGCTGTTTGAGCTAATTTTTTTTCTGTGCACCATCCTCAAGATGAAAAGTTACACGATTTTCGTCGTTATATACATAACCCATAAAGTTAAGAATCGCATAAAATCGCATACGGAAAAAAAATCAATTACAGTAGTTCGTAAATTAGCATATGGACACCTAAAACTTTAGCAATTATAATTGTTGTAATAGCAAACTCTTTTATTATTATCGTAAATGACATTTATGATAGGTACGTTTGCTGCTGCAGTAAAAGAGTTTACTGCAGCAACAATTAAAATTGCTTACATTGCTAAAGTTTTAAGTGTCCATACGTTACAACTAATTTAGCTACTGTATCTGATATTTCTTTTCGTATAACTCTGATTATAATGATATGGTTATGAATGGTTTTAATTATAACGGTTTACAATGGTTTCGACCTCACGTGAATATCTGTAAGGTTGACGATCGTATAATGTTCGATCCAGGGAATGGTACAGCGTACATAACGCCAACTGTGCACCTGTCTACCTGTATGTAGAGTCATTTGCGGCGTCTAACGCAATCCTACGCGACTCTGCGTATCCTCCCGGCTTCCTCCTTCTTGCGCTCATTATACAGAGCATCTGGTTTGAGAGAGAAGAGCGTTATTGTCACCAATGAAAGTGGCCTCTAATGTTCACTTACGAAATACGTCCGCGTTAATTATCATCGGCGTGTTATAAGGTGATTACGGTCGGTTGATGACGGTGAACGCACCGAGCGTACTCGAGACGAATTCGTCGCGGTCTGTTTAACTGATTATACCGTGAACACGAACACCTACGCTACGTGCTGTTTCCTTCTGCCTTGTCGGATTATACACACGTCAAAAATATTGTTATAATAAAATACGCGCGCAAAGTGCACCACGGGGGCCCGGTTTTCGCCGTTATAACTTGCATCCTACGTTTCGCTCCACATGCATTTATCGTTTGAAATTAATTCAATGATCAAACAATCAGACCGAAAGGCAGGGTTACCCGTAACGACGACGGCGAACATGAAAAGCACGCACGGAGAAAACCAATTTTGCTGGGACAGCAAATGTTTGTTAACATAGTGACAGCAAAGAAAAAAATTTGTTTAGACGGCAGAAAATTTGTTTGATAAAGAGATTTGTTAAGAGTATTAATTGCTATTTGCTGTTGGATATGTGGATAATTAATATTCTTAACGAATCTTTCTGCTGTTCAAACAAATTTTTTGCTGTCTGAACAAATTTTTTTCTTTGCTGTCACTATATTAACAAACATTTGCTGTTCCAGCAAAATTGGTTTTCTCCGTGCGGGATGCACAACCGAATAATTTTTTGATGACCTTTGAAATTTCACGCGTTTGCGTTCTCTAACGGATTCCATGGATCGAGATCAATTTTATCACGCGTCATATTGGAGAGCGCACATTTCATCTGGTTTTTATTTTCTTACAGCGGCGAAAAAGATGCCGGCGATAAGAAGGAGAAGGACAAGAAGAAAGGTGAGTAGCAGCCTGTCGTTTTGAAACTTTTCAGAGAAACTCACCGGCCGGTGAGATTTCCGTTAACTGTGTGATTATACGCGAAAAAAAAGACTCAGTTCCTACAACTGAAGGACCAGATGAAAACTCGGCAAGACAAGAAGTGATATCTTTATTACTGTGTGACTAGGCACATTCGCGCGAACGTTCAGCTGTGTCAAGGTAGTTGGTTAGTAAATTTAATTTCTTAGGAATCTTTTCCAATTATGATGACATTAATCAAAGCACAATCTACACACATGTGAAATTAGTAGAAAATTAATTATACGAAGATAATTGAGGTCAAAGTTAGTACTATTTGCATGTATCATAGATACGAAAACAGTTCCGATATCACGTTTTTAATTCTAGTGATCAAACTACTCCTGCGGTTTCAATGAAAAACGGGGAGATGATAAAAAAGACTCGCGGAAATGTTATATAAAAAGTTACAAGGTCGTTTATTATCTAGTTTTCTAGAAATTGATATGTAAAATACATAATTTTTGATAACAGTTGAAGCGAATAACGGCAATTTGTAAAGACTTGAATATTGTACGCTATATTTCCCTTTGTATCTCTTGGTTAAGTATTTTTTTAAAGATAGAATAATTTAATAACTTTAAAGACCTAGGATCAATATATAAAAATGCGAAAAAAAAAACAGAACAATACGGAAAAATTCGACGTCACGATTATTTTTTTAATAACTTGCATTCATGTACATCTATCGGTTAATTACAAAAAGTGTCATAAAAATATTGTGACACTTTTTTTAATAAGTTTCGGAACGCATTTCGTGTTCAATGGAAGAATTTCCATTTTTTATTTTTTAGTAATTCTTAAGAGATATATTTTTCTTTTGGATGCGAGATGCGTTGCAAAACTTATCGAAAAAAAGTGTTACAATCTTTCTGTGACTGGCCATACATAAGATATATTCACAAACATGTGCCTAACGCGGGCAATCTTAGCCAAAAATATTATACGTCAAAGTGCGATTATTTTCTTATGAGTTTTAAGGAGGTTCGTTCACTAAGTATCGTATTTTCAATATCTCATCGAGAGAGCCTTTTATAAATTTATTATATATTTATTATTTATTAAGTAAAATTACGTTTCTATGCAGTTACTTCACTACTTAAGTAGTAAGTGTTAATTTGAAACGAAGCTGAAATAAATATGCATATACAATATTACAAATACGAAAATATTATTTTTTACTTTTCTTATTAATGCTATATTTATGCCTTAGTTGATCTAATAGAGATGCATAAATAATAGAAAGATACGTAAGTGTTTAAATATGTACATATATCCCGAGTATTACTATAAATTATAAACTTTCCACTATTGTTTTTTCAGAACGAAATGGTCAATAATTCCGAAGTTTGTCTATAATATCGATGTATTCATTTTTAATATTATGACTTCATTTTTAATATTATGTTTTCTCAACTTCTATCATATACACAAATATGTCAGCTTAGAAGAAATTTGTTGTATTATGAGATTTCTACATGCTTGTACATACGAGTTTATAATTAATTCTAGAAGCTCTTGTTTTCGGCGCCCGTAAACCCCCCATGGGTCGTTCGGGCCCGTCGCTTATTTATTTATGTTAATATATACGAAAAAATCGGGAAAAATTCTTGGGTCTTCTTTAGACTCTGAACTTGACGATGAAATTATTGCCGTACCTGAAAATGCATTTTTTAACAAATATTTTTATCAAAATTCGTAGGCATTTAGGCAATTTATATTCAAATATTTAAAAATTTATATCTTCCGTTGTATTTAGTTAAAAAATTCAGGCAATAATCTAGTTACAATGACCTACTATGTACTAACGAAAAAAAAAGATCATCGGATGTGAAACAAAGATATTTATTTTGCGAATCGAAAAATGCTAAATTTCCAGATCGGCGGAAAAAAATTGAAAAATCATACGCCGAGAAAATATGGCATGGATATGAATGACTCATGTGCGTGGTTCGATAGGGTTAAATATTTCGGAAACGATACGGTAAAGATTATTGAAATTTCTCTTATGCATTGTTAATTCGATTAACTTTTTTATATGTTTATATAACCATGTATATATTTTATCAGGTATATAGTACCAGGTTTATATTTGGTCAAATGCTCGAACCTCTTTAAATATTGTATAAATCTGATTGATATTCTCTTTCTATCAAAGCTGCATATTATAAATCATCTTTATAATTCATATTATTTAGCGCAACTTTGTCGAGTTCTTCGTGTTGTATTAACCATTACCTTTCTAACAATATTATAACGAAGCAACTACCTTAAAACTTGTCCGAGATAACCGGGAACTCAGTTGACTGAGCTGACAGGAATCTTCCGGTTTCCACAAGTTTTCGTTTGGTCCTCGGGCAACGGAAACTTCAGTTAACCCAACGAAATTGTTTTTTCTTCCGTGTAAATTAAAATTCGTCGTGTGCCTTCCTCTTTTCCTCACCGTAACGCTTCGCTTCAACATCAATCATTCCAATTGTTCGGCGGCATTGAGAGTCTCGAGTCGAGTAATTTTTCAAAAGCGTCGCTTCCTGCGACGTCTAACGGCACCGGCAATGCGCGCGCCTGATAAAACCGCGTCGGTGAAAACTTCCTCTTGACTTGACGATCGCTTTTATCCGATTTCAGAAAATGCCGTCCAGCCACATTGTCACATCACACTGAAATGCACACGAGAGGTGAGTGACTCCTTCCGGCCCGGTTTTAATTTAGACACAACCTTGTGCAAGAGGAAAGATGCCAGATTCGCCCGATAAAGAGGTTGAGGTGCGACGTGAAAGGGAAAAAGACGAAAAAGAAAGAACAGACTTGGGAGAAAGAGAGAGACAGAGAGAGAGAGAGAGAGAGAGAGAGAAAGTGACAAACTGTCGACGGCTCTTGTATTTCCTATGTGCTATACTTAGACATCGCGGAGTAGCGAGGTAACAGGAGGCAAACGGGATCATTATCCGTTCCTAAATTTACAGATCGCCGGCTTCAATGGCCTGAGTGACGCCCTGAAGAGGCTGGATTTCCTCTCCGCGGTGCACGACTGCCGTCGCTTCAACTACATCGTCCGTCTGCTGGACCTACTGGTCAGTCATAGAATGGGCGGCCTCAGCGGCTGCGCTCAGAGAGTGCTCTTCAATATGCTCGAGGAAGTCGCTCTGGAAGGTAAAGTGCTCCTCTAGATGCAAATTCCTCGCGAGACTCGTCCGTGCCAAGGCGAATCCCGCGATAAAGGCTTCTCCGGCGGGATTCGTTGGTCCCGAACGAAGAAGAAGACGAAGATCACCTTGGTCCTCATTCCCGACCGTTGTTTCTAGTGTCGCTGTCGCAACAGCAGACCGGGAGATTGCGACGCCTCATAGAGCGAGTTCGGGCCTTCAGCGCCGGCTGCTGCTGGGGCGGCAGACCCTTAGGCTCCGTTATCCTATGGGAAAAGCATAAAGCGGCTCTGGAGAGGATCCTGCAGATCGCCTCGTCCATAACCATCACTCAGGTAACAATTGAAGGCTCATATCAGTGAGCTCGTAGCACTGCTATTGATTAATGCACTATTACGCACTTTGTGAAGGAATATTCGACCGATCGAAAGGTTTCTATTTTCTTAATAAAACTGAAACTATTCCTCCAAGATCTTCATGACATTTTCCGGGTTTTCATGTTGAGCAGAGCACAGAAATCGATATGATTTCAATTCTTATAAAAATTTCTATAGAAATGGATTATGCATGACGCTTAACTTATTCCCTGCTGATTTTGTTCATGGGATTTAAAGTAGTTTAAAATTAGTACTTTAAGAATTCGTCCGAACTTGCATTATATATAGATTTAAATATGACCTAATTATTGATGCAATTAGAAAAACGATTGATTCGGAAGCTGAGATATTCGCGACTAAAGATGACACTTTTTATACGTATTGAGATCAATATCCTATTTTTAACTTTTATTTTTAATTTCCTCTAAACCATGTTTAGAATTTTAATGAAGAACTATTATAATATTAAAGATACAGAGACATTATACGAAAGTTTCAGAATTATTTATCATTTTGTTTTAAAAATATAGCCGTAGGAAATTTATAATTTATAATAATATCCGTGATATATGTACAAATATATATATTTACATTTTCATATATCATTTTCTATTACATNCGTATAAATAAAGCATCAGTAAGAAAAATAAAAAATAAATAGTATCTTCGTGTTTGTAATATTGTGTGTATATTTCTCTTAATTTCGGTCAAAATTAACATTTATTACTTTTATTTATTATTTAGATAGTTAAATATAGTTATAGGAAAGTATTTTTTTTTCAATAAATAATAAACTTATGTAGATATCTCTTAATATCGCTATTGAAAATCCGGCATTTTACAACATCCTTGCAATTATCCTAAGTGCGTTTAAATGTTCTATTATGCGTTTTTACTACTGTGATTTTTTATAAGTCTTATTTTTAATGGGCCTTACTTTACTTTTATTTTATATTAAATTATTATTGTTGCTTATTTTTATATCACTTATTATTTATATTATTTATCTTATTAAATATTACATATTGAATTTTCTTTTCTTTGTAATTTTTTTATCTGTCTGATATTTTCTCTATTTTATATGTTGAAGAGTTTCCACGTTAATAAAGATTATTATTATTATTATCTTCGACAGTAAACCGACGGCCTTCTATGATAAAATTATGCGAATGCTGGCCAGACCGTTGGTGAAATATCGTAGACAACGCGATGATGATTGTCCGACTGATGAATGATTTGTTTCTATTGAATGCACAACACAAAGTGACATTTCACACCAAAATTGAAGCGAACTTTTTGACTCATCCTATACGCGGTCGCTGATCGATAACGAACGATTATCCGGTTGTAGCCGGACGAGGAACAGCAACCACAGTGGTCGGATCTGCCGCCCGAGTGCCGTCGAGAGGTTCTCCTCCGTCTGAGTGACCCGCGAGACATCGAGGCTTCCTCCGAGGCCTGCGAGCATCTCGCTATTCTGGCACAAGAGCAGAGAATTTGGCGCGAACTCGCTCAGTATCATTTCACATCGCAACAGATCGCCACTACCAGGCAAAATAACCCTGGAAAAGACTGGAAAACTATATTCACTATCGCCCGAAGGTCAGTATTGGTCGGAAGTTTCTTTCGCACGCGATTCAACTCGAGCACGCTGCGGAGTTCAGTTTAGAAATACGCGAACAATATAAGAATGAAGGATAGGTAGCGTTTAAAATTATTTAAAATATATTGTATACCTAGTATACAATATATTATAAATATATACAATATATTATAAATGTACAGTCCCTGGCCATGTTATTAGGTGCACTTTAATTTTTTAAGAGAATACAAGTTAGGAGGAAAAGAAAAGCTACTAATTTTACGTTTGCTCGATTAGAATAACTTTCAGTGTCAAATAGCACTTTTATCCCTGCAACCTTCTGAGGTGTCAAATCACTTGTTTTATCTATCATTTTTGTAAACAATATTAATATTTTTCACAAAAAAATTTATTTTTCAGTTAGTAAGCAAGGAATTTGAAGTTTCAAATCACGAATAAACAAGACACAATTAAAACGAAATTTCAATTGACACACACTCAAAACTCACGCCTGTTCTCGTTATTATCAACAATGCAACTAGCGCGGGTTCATACTTGTTCAAGGTCATTGTAATAGCCAAGTAAAATGACGTCATAAAAAATACCTTTTATAGAATAATAGTTCCTTAACATAATTCGATCGATAGATGAGCTGTATTATAAAGCTAGTCCTCGGAAGTCAATGAAATGTAAAAAATTAAGGTGCGTCTAATAATATGACCAGGGACTGTATATGTATTAGGTCCGCAATTGAATATTTATACATATATACATATATATATATTTTAACTTTTACATCGAAATGTCTTTTTTCCTACTCTTTTTACGAAAAAATGTTTCAGATAAAAGTTTGACTATATAACAAAGTTATATAGTCAATAATTCAAGGCCATATTAAGGTCAATTTTATTTTTTTCAATAGAATCATATAGTTTTTTTTTACACAAATTGATTCTTTTGTTTATTCTGCTTATAAAAGTACAGGGTAAGATCATCGAAAAGTGTTTTTATTTTAATGTTTTTCATTATAAAAGATGTGGAACATCTCATAAAATATTTGCTCTTCGTTAACATCACCTTAATGTTTTTGTATGTAAAATGACAGATGGAATTGATCGTTATAACATAAGGAAACTGAACGAAATTAATTGTATTTTGCAAATGCATCGATGTACCAATGTGCAATGTTTAATACCAGTAATCGATTTCTCTTTCATTATTATGTAAAAAAGTGTTAAAGTGATGCTATCGGGAAGTGTGTATATATATATATCCTTTATCTATTTACTAGAGATTTAGAAGTATTTACTAGTTCGTCTAGCAACACTACATTGCTGTTTTCCATAGGTCGTTCGGATTGCGGGAGGAGTACGCCGAGATGATTCAGCTGTGCCGCAATTGCCGTTGCTTGTTCTGGCGATCCTTGGGCCATCCCTGCATCGCGGATCAAGATCCGGCGTTTCAGGAGAAGCTGGCGGACGTCGATCAGGCGTCCCTCCACGTGCCGATTCCTCCGCAGACCTTCCTGAAATTCTTCTCGCTATGAAAGCTTTCGTTTATTCTGTAAGAGGCGTAATATGTACGGTATATGCGTCGTGTGCGTTTACAGGGAAAAATGCGAAAGCTATGACGTAACTGCGAATGTGATTGTCGTTGGTCAGGAGTGAATGCCCGCGCGCGAGTACACAATTTGGACAGATAAAAAATAGAATGACGCTTTAAAAAATGTTCTGCACTTAGAAAGCGAGAGAGAGAGAGAGAGAGAGAGAGAGAGAACAAATATATTTAATCCGAGATATATATTCTCAAGCATACGCGGCTGCGAGACGCAGAGATCGACGCGACGGAATACGCTCCCGGTGGAGTTTGACGCTGATTTCGCTTTAACGAATGTCTCTCTGGTTGGAGGCCTACTTATCCTCATAAACGAACGTTCGAGGAGTACGAGATGCCGTCGGGAGCTTATCGCTAATTGGCGGACAAGATAACACAGAGGAGCGCGAGTACTCGTGCAAATTCTATATATATAATATATATCCGACACATACGCGGATCGATATCTCCTGAGGTTCTAACTTTAATTGCTCCGTAATTAGCGACTCGCTCGCGCGAGTTTCATTGAAGCGAAATCGGCCCCGAGCTCGTGAACAACTAAAATATAATATTCCCACTGTCGCCGGTCCCCGCTCCTTCGGGCTCGTTTTGTATATCTTGATATCGAGATCGCGATTGGTAATATTTTCTGGTCAATGGAATCTCGAGTGTAATACGAGATTCCCCGGATGCGCGTTTTCGTCACTTTGAGATTCCTACGTCCTCGAAACTGGTAAGAGAGGGTATTTCTATTGTCCTTCGAGTTATGGTCGTAGAAAGTAGATACTAGTCGTAGAATGATGTTGTTTAAAAAGTCGTCGCGCGAATGCGTTCTCGAAAGAGAGAGAGAGAGAGAGAGAGAGAGATTGCGTGAGGATAATTATCGATTTACGCTGACAAGCTTTCTATGTTTGAAGCTGACAAACGACTACATGTGATTTTGCGATAGCGCCCCATCACCCTTGTGGTTCGTCTTCGGTGATAAACGATAAATCAAGCTGTCCTTCGCGAGTCCTTCGCCGATTTAAACACCACGCAAACGTATTTGCTAAGCTGGCGAAATGAGCGTACGGAACGCACGGTTTGACGTTTGGCGCGCAGCGAGAGAGAGACACTTTTTTTTGTTTTGACACCAAGTGTTATCTCACTTACATGGTGAGAGAGAACTCGGTTTATTGTGTCACGGTGTGCGTTTGTGATCATGCGAACGATAAAACTTATACCTTCCCCTATGCGATATTATCGAAGACAATCGAGTCTATTCGAAGAATACTCTCTGCTCCGATCGTCACGAAATTATCTTCTGACGTTAACGCGAACGGTGAGTTGAAAATTATACGAGTGAGGAGCAACTGTGTGTGTATCATGCACAGACAAATACGACACGTGCCGCTCGGTCGGTAGCTACGCGGAAAAGTGCAGCTGTTTCTTAGCCGAACGTTACTTTTCGTACTTTTGGGCTCCTGTTCTTCAAATGGGCGCGTATACGCATGAACCTTATAGATGTGGTTGTGGACTATGTGGACTGGCGATTGCCTATAGTTTTTGTTTAGTAGCGTCCGGAGGAGATCAAAGAGAGAGAGAGAGAGAGAGAGAGGAACATACTTTTCAGTACTTGTCTCTTTCTCTTTCCCTCTTTCTCTCTAGAGATACTTCTGGACATTTTAAGGGTGTGTCCAAATCACAAAAGAGAAATAGCGGAATGGAACAGTAATGGAAAGGATACATTGTGGGGACTAATCGATCAGAATGACTCCGTTTCGTTTTCTCGGACTCTTCATGGCAAAATATTTTACGAAATTGAATTGGAACGGACAGTCGTTTACGACCTGTAACAATCTGTTTTAACTTATAATTGTGCCGCATTGTATTCTAAATTCCACGGACTGGATCAAGTTCGTTATTTAATATTTAATATATTTATATAAATATTTAATAAGAAATGTTGTAAAAATATCGAAAATATAATATAAAGTGTTCGAAATTTTATGTGAAATATCAACTCCTTGTTAAAAAAATTATTCATATACATACAAATTACGTATAGAATATGTTCATATATAAAAATATATAATTATATGTGATTATATATAGTTATATATAATTTATATATTAAAATATGCATGTTTATATGTAATCATATATAACTGTATCACTATTTCATATATATACATATTTATATATGGACATATTTCACATAAATGTTGCCTTATATATAATTATATAATAATGCATAATCTAATTATGTATAATTATATATGAAAAATTTTTTAACGGGTCAACATCTTGACATCAATTATTTATAAAATTTCAAGCGCTTTATATTATTGATACATTCTCAATGTTTCTTATTAAATATTTAACGTACTCGATAGCTAGATAGGTAGAATTTTAGAGCACAACGCAGCACAATTATAGGTCAAAACAGATTCTTGCAGATTATAGACGATTATCCGTTTCAATTCCGTTCCGTTCTTTTTCGTTGCTGTTCCCCTATCCGCTACTTCTTTCTTCATCTGGCGCCTTAAAAGCTTGTTGTACAATACTCTGTATGTCGTAGTCGGATGTTGGAATGCAGCCGTTGATCCGATAAGAAGAACTCGTTCTCGAAAAAATTCTTGAATAAATTCTCTCATTAGACTATCAACATTTGACTTCGACATACGATGTATTGTAGAACGGTCCTAAGAAAGAGAAATACTAAAAAGTATATTTCTCTCTCTAACCTTCACCGGACAAGGTTTGCTATGTGTTGTCAATATTTATAAGCGTATAAGCGTCTAAGCGTAATGTCATTGTGCAGCTATTTTATGATGCGATTATACTTGCGCAAAGACACTTGTATATATGCAATCATTTCAAGAATAGGAGTCCTCCGTTGTGTTCCGATATTCGCTGCCATTACTGCGAATCTGTAGTATTCGTATGAACTATAGTTTTTCAGCGCTGGCAGCGAATTTTGGTTTACACATCTCTGGTAGCTCCACTGCATTTCGTATTCGCATTTAGATAAGTTTCTTTTTTTAGCGATATTGTTACTTTCGTATAATATTTAATTAACGGCAAAGCATTTCGTGCTTCCTTGTGTAATATATACATACGGATGCGTCGGTTTTATTTTATCGGACTAAGCGGATGCTATTGCTTTTCGTGCAATATTTTTGTACCTTTATTTTATCTTTCCATTTCCCCTTTCGTTGTTCGGCTTTCCTTCCCTTCTACAAATTTTTATCTCTACAAAATAACGAGTCGCGAGCGTCTTCGTGATTTTCAATGGTCGAGCTGTCGCGCGGGAGCCCGAAGAAGAGATTCATTTTCTTCAGCTTCGTAGAACACTGTCGCCGACGGTTTCAGGAGAAAGACAGTTCGGGTTGTCTGGTTGTTGTGATGAAAAGTGTACATTAGTTAACTTTACAAAAAGTACAAAACGTTAACCATCATTATCGTCGATTGATACGAACGCAGACGGATCGCGGAGTCCTGTCGTCGCCTATACAGGGTGTCATAGTTAAAGCAATACAGAGAGAGATAGCGGTGTATTCGAATTTTCGCATGTTCTGTATGTTCATTTAAATAGAAAAGTCCTGTATTGTGTGACATTCTTTACCATTGCCGATTGTTGCGCGTATATTCATTCAACTACAAATAATGTTGACAGATTTCTAATGAACACCTAAGTTACGATACGATGTGTAAGAAAAAAAGAAAAGAACAGGATGATCTTACCGCACTAATTGGAGAATGGAAAAAATTATACTGCCAAAGTGGATGCTATATTATTGTATTTATACGAATCGACGAAATTCGCCGGATTTGTGTAAACTTCCGTATAGCACGAGAGGCGTTTTTTTGATATTTGCTCTTTTATTCGTAGCGAAACTTAAAATCATTGCATGACTTAAATATATATTAACCTAGTCACTAAATCAAGAGAGAGAATGACCAAAATCGCGGTTGAATCGCAGTGTTAAAAATGTAAGCTCGCGATGAGAGTTCTCGGCAGCTCACTGTGTACATTAAAAACTCAACGAACTGGTCTCTATAAAGTGTGAATATATATATATATATAATATGTGTACATAACGTACACATATGTATGTATATATATTCACACGCATATGACTATAAAGCAATCCTATGATCAGGATTATTTTACTTACGTAAGCAAATGTGTAGAACAGTGTTGTGCAAAGTGCTTCAAAATAAACTTTATTTAAATATATATATGAATATATTATTTATACCAATTGATCAATTGAATCCCGTATGATACGCGGCATTCTAAGACGTTCGTCAGAAATATTTACTTGAAGAAGAATATGCTTTATGAGTATTTGATTGATTGGTTTCACAGGACTGATGAATTGTTTGGCACAATCTAGTGGTACTGATACAAATCTTGTTTCGTTAACGGTCCGCAGGAGAGATTGATAGATTCCTCGCGGAGAATTATGCAAGGTACGTTTTTTAAGAAATCACGCCAAAATTACGGAAAAAATCACCTTGTAATTGTGATATTCGTAATTAAGAGAAACGTTCGCAATGCAGTGCAGAGAGATTTTTTTGAAAAAGAGTCGAAATAAAAACATGATAACTTATTTGAACGAGCGCTCAGGTTGAAGAGTGCTGTACGAGTCCATATTTTGGCTTACTATAAATTATTAAAAGCCTAATTGTAAAATCCGACTCTGAGTTGAGTTATTAATCATGTAACTTTTCCTTAAGGAAGTATGAACATTCCAAATGTTTCTAACTTAGAAAATTTATACTTTTCATGAATTCATGCTAAAGGACGAATTCGATTCGATATACGATTGGTTTTAGCGGGACGTGAGTACTAGACATGATGTATAATATCTGTAAATACCTGGGAAATAAAGATCATGTATGAAATTTGTGTCTATATATGATTATATATAATCATATATGTCCACAATGGAAAAATACTGTTGTTTATAAATTATATGCAAGTACAATCGAAGTAAATGCTTCTGGCTACTTGTGTCTCTGACAGCACATGATATCGTTATTTAATTAAATGACAAAGCATCATTTTATTTTTCGTATAGACACATGATCATACATGTAACCACATACGCGGACAAAATTCATATATGATTTTATGTAATTATATATAATCATATATAATCATTTATTCCCGGGTAAGTTGTATGATGCATAGATGTTTTTTCGGGAAGCACTCATGCTAGAGGAGAAGATTAATGATTTGTCCTTAGGAAATCATCCTTTTTTACTCTAGCATGAATTCATCAAAAGTGTACATTTTTTAATTTGGAAACATGTGGAATTTTCCCTTTTCACATTTTCATCCCAGGGAAAAGTTACGTGATCGCTGCAGAACACATCGTACATTTGCAAAAGGATTCCAAAAATTATTTGGTAACACGACTTCTCTAAGCTAAAATATCGAAAAGTGCGCTATCATCCCGGGAAAAAAGGATCATATATGAAATTTGCCCATATACGACTATATATAATCATATATGTCCACAACGAAAAAATACTGTTGTTTACAGATTATATGCAAATACAATCGAAGTAAATGTTTCTGGCTACTTATGTTTCTGACAGCACATGACATCGACATTTAATTCAATGACATAGTATCATTTTTTTGTATAGACATATATGATCATATATATATAATCCCATATATTTAGGCAAAATTCATATATGATTTTATGTAATTATATATAATCATATATAATAATTTCTTCCCGAGACGAAAAGTATTGTCTAGCTGCGCCTAAGTGCTGCTCTTGTGTTCGCGAAAGCGTTAATATACACGTATGCGTATGCGTATGTGAACATATACCTACTTACCTCCCTACCTACCTACTTACCTACCTACCTACCCACGCGCGCGTGCACGCACGCACGCACAGTGTTTTGCACTTTCGTCGAACGAGGTGTCCAAAGTTAAATCTGAATTTACTCTTATCAATTCTTAAGGTCGGGTCTACAATAGCATTAACCACTTGCGGTGCAAAGAGATTCTCGGTTGCGCGTAGCAAAACAATCGAGCGGGAATCACTTCGCGGCGCATTCAGGCAGCGTTCAGCGGGAGGGTTCACGAAGAGAATATAGAGAGGCAGAAGGATAAAATTACATCTGTATCAATACTAAATTTATTTATTAATAATCTTGCAGGGTGTGATACTTTTCAAAATAACATTTTGCCCAACAAGAATATGTATTCTAGATATTCTTGTATATTCCCATACTTGCGTTATATTTTCCGCGTCTTTCCAAATCCATTCCTGGGATGAAACATTCCTTTCTCTATTCTCATTCTGAACATCTTCCTCGTCGTCCGATAGAATTCTACGCCGATTCCGACTTGGAAAAACAATTTGTTCTAAATCACTGTCAGACTCTACATTGTCTTGTCTTCTCCGTTTATTTATAGAAATAATATCACTGGCTTCGCTATCACTTTCCATTTTATAGTCTGGGGTCAATACTGATAACTTTACACGATGAAGAGCAAGCAGAAACTGTGCCTCGGTAAAGAATTTTATTGAACAGTGGACGTGCCACGCACGTCTTTTATCTTTCTGCAACAATCGCTCAACGACGTGCGTAACACGTCGCTGGCGTTCCGGTAACAAAAGCATGTTGACGTGGGTAGCACGTCTTTTCACCGCAAGTGGTTAAGGATCTGTTTTCTATTGCTTCACTAGCTTGCACTAATTCTCTCTTTCTCTTTTTCCCACTAAATTTCAAGAAATTACTAATGCAAGCTAGTACAGAAATAGAAAACAGACCCTCAATCATAAGAAATAGACCAATCATACACGAATATTCTTCTCACATTCGACTGTGATTAATTAATTTTTTTCTGATGTTTGAAGCTTCCTAGTAATTAAGAAATCGTTAACACAATGTTATTACAATGATATTTTATAACATGTAACGTTATCCAATATGTAGTTCTTAATGTTGTATAACGTTACTGTTGACAATATTTTACCGAAACATTAAAAATAATATTTCTACGTCATAATTTTAACATTTAAAAATATAATATGTTATCAAGTAACAGATTAAAAATATTTATAAAATATTATATCAAAATGTTTATGAAATTCACCTAAAATCAATGTTTTAAAAGATTGATTTAATGTTTCTTGCTTATTGGGTTATTACATCTACTGTATAGACTCGGCTTTATATAATTAAACGACGATCCAAAAGATTTTATTATTTTCAATCTTCACGATTCAACACGAGCCGGAAGATCTTTTTGTTTTCAAGTAGTATTACTCACAGTGGCGAGGAAGCCGGCCTTTTGTATAATATCTTAAGAATATATAAAATTTAACGAGCTATAACTTTGGCAAACGAAACGGTTCACAAAGCTTGAAGTCTCTACTTTCTTAACTACATGAATCATAATTTTACTTGATGTGATTTTACTTATGAATCATGAATTATATTTTGTACCAATATATAGCGAATTTAATGAAAAATGGCGATTTATTATGTTACTTAATTTTCAACCTTATCTTTCTATTGTTTTCACATCAAAAAATAGCTTTTAACAAAAATATAATAGAAGCATTTAAAAAAAGAGGGAGCTTAAAACTTTTTGTTCATTCCTTAACAAAATTCGTACAGTTGGCAGATTAAAAATTGCAATACTTTTTTTCGATGAGTTTCGTAACGCGTATTGTATCCAATAGAAAAATATATTTGAAATGTATTTTCATAGAGATATAAGAATAGAGGGAACAAGCCTGTAAGTGGAAGTCATAGAAACAAAGAGAGAGATGGATGCTGAGTGTCCTATCTGTCTCTTTCTACTCACGCGCTGGGATTGGCTGCCGCATCAACGACGATATAGCTATACATTTTTCTCCATCCAATTCAAAGAAACTGTCATTGCTAAAATGATCACTGCAAATATATGCTGTTTTCACTTCAAAATACAAAGGTAGTTGAAGTATATTCAACCATTTACGCCTTATATCTACATCCTTCCGTAGCCTATAACATTTACATATTTTTTTAAATGTAGGAAAAAATAACATATAATTATTTGAAGTTACGTATTTGTACTTTCTTACGAGTGAAAACTGCGGTTACATCCAGGATAAGACTCCGCCTTGCATTTCAAACAATGCTTCATTTTTAAACAAATCGCGTCCAATTATTATTTTGTTAACGTTCGAATATTTAACGAATTTTAATTCTACACACATGTGCACGCATATTTACAAAACGAAATTTTAGTCTGCTTTCTCCCCTCCTGACGTCGCGTGGTCGTCTTGGTGGCTTATTGTAACAACCAATCACAGCGCTCAACTAGAAAGAGACAGATAGGACACTCGGCATCCATCTCTCTCTTGACCTCTATCACTTCCACTTACAGGTAGCATATATCCCTTGTTCCCTCTATTCTTATATCTCTATGTGTATTTTCTTGAACATTATTGAGAAATAAATTCTTCCATTGGGCATGCGTTACGAAACTCATCCAAAAAGGTGTTGCAAATTTTAATCTGCCAACTGTATATCGATTAGCTCACTCTTTGTAAGTGATCGAAGCTGAAAAGCTTTTGTCTTACCGTTAAGTATGACTCTATAAAAATAAATTTTACCGCAATTTGCATATACGCAAATTAAAAATAAAAGTTAAAGTGGTATAAACACTTTCAAATGGTATAAACGCCATTTGTATGATTTCTTGTTGACGTAATCTAACAAATGTGAAAGGGAATTCTGATATCGACAGATCTTATAATTTATACTCATATAATGTGATAAATAAATCAATGATAAATTTGAAGAAACATAGATTGTGTAAAGACTTTAAGCTACTAAACGCGTTTCTTAAACCATCTTATTATCTTTAGATTTATAGAAATTATAATTTGTTAAATTTTGCCTATATTTGTAATCTTTGTAATCGAGAAAATCTTTTACCTTTTTATGCACTTTTAAAGTATGTATATAAATGTATATAAATGTACATATATAATGTATGTACAAATGAAAGAAGAGCAAAGAGGATATTGTGGAAATATATTATACAAGCTGCATTTTTGATTGCATTACTTTTTAATTTAAAATATATAAACTGTACATATATATATTTATATATATATATTTATAATTATAGTATATATCTATATTTATATAATATTTAGGTAATATAGTAGGTGTGAGCATGATAAATTAATGTGTGTAACATATTTATACGAGTGGCAGTTGAGCTGAGAGGGAGGATCTTAAATTTTCCTAAGCTGATAAAAGCCGCACTTATTTCGTAAATACTCCATCACTTTTCCCTCTTGTGGAAAGAATTGTTTTTTCATCCTTTTCTCATGTCGAATAAAAAAAAATTTTTCTTCTCAGCCGATCCTGTTGGATACGATAACGTTGCGAAACAGAGGTGAACGCGTCGTGCTGATAAAAAAATTATTTGCAGCTTCATGAAATATCACTCGCAATAGTTTTTATGCCCTTATCGCCTTTAAGCTTCAGCCGCGTCTTATACCGCCGCTTTCGTCATTACGTATTCAAATTTCATGCGTTAAGATGATAGGCGTACGCTTTCTCTCTCTCTCTCTCTCTCTCTCTCTCTCTCCCTCTCTCTCTTCCCATAACGGCGCCGCTCGCGTACGTCCTCGCGTAGTATTCTCGTTGCACGAGAATTGCATGCACGATCCCGACTCGCCTCACGATATAAACGTTATGTGGGGGTATCGAGTGTCGAAAGCACCGACCGCGAAATCGCTGCTGCCGAAGTCAGCAATGGATCCGATTGCAACGTAACGACAATTAATAAACCAATCAACCAACCAACCAACGAACGAACGAACGAACGAACGAACGACGCATTAATCTCTCGTGGTTTCGATCAACCGGATACTGTTCGCCTATGACAGTATCCGTTCTCACCCTCGTTAAGGTGGTACACTCTCGTTTGTGAAATGGTTTGAATATATTTTTTTTTCCGGTAAGAAGTTAGGAACGTATCGAATAGTTGCGCGATTGCGAGCCTCTACTCACGAATCTGAGCGGTGATTCGTTATGACAGGAGTCGAAGTGAATACGGGTGCGTTCGATTTGGACGTTCGGAGGCGCTACCTAGCATCGTTCACACCGTTCACTTTGGAGCCATAAACGCCCAAAGTGCGAGTTACGACATCATCGTGAAATCTCTCATAACTTGCGCTCACAAACGCTTATTTTCGTCGAGGTAGAGCAGCGAAAGCGTGAAAACGTTCAAATTGAATGCCGCAGCAGCACCGAAAGACAGCGTCCGATATGTAAACTTTGTTGTGTTAAAAGACGCGTATACAAATTTCTTTGTTATCGGAAATATAGTTCATATTTATGACTTGAAGTGTGATTTTTAAATTACTCGTCACTGTAGCATAGAATAATATTTTGTACATAATCTTGTAGTCGTGTAGACTTTAATGAAACGGTTATTCAGCAATATAAATGATGCCCTCTAAATTCTTATCACACGGTTTTTTATATTCCCCGTCGTCAAAAAAGATTTCCAATAACGATTCATGATTAAATGGTCATTTGAGAAAATAACACGTGCAGTACTTTATCCTTCGTCATCTTAACGCTTGTAATCGCTCGCAATTACCAAAGTAAACGGTATTCCGTAAATGCTTAAACGTCAAAAAACTAAACAACTGAAAGCAACTCATGCTTATAAGTATGAACGTCCAAATCGAACGCATTCTGAGACCATCCGACGTTGCACAATTACAACGGATTCAGGAAACATAGATATTTAATTATATCTTTAACTGTCGGATAAGAATTCTGTAAAAGGGGATGTGACAATATTTACATCATATACAGTCGGAGTCATGTACGGTGCATACGGTCAGTCACAAAAAAGTTCACAACATTTTTTTCGACGAGTTTCGCAACGCATCTCGTTCCGTAATAGGAAAATGTATCTCCTGAGAATTAAAAAAAAAAAATTCACCTATTAGGCATGCGTCTCGAAACTTATAAAAAAGTGGCAGACTGCATGCATGAATGACTATATAATTTCTTAAATTGAAACTTTTTACTATGACATAATTTTCGGCCTTTCACACATGTTTACACGTGTTGAAACTGTTATTATAATTAGAGCCGTTATAACTCAATCATTATAGAGTTATTTCTGCGATTTTCAACTTTGCGTTACATGTAAGGCTGAAAACCATGTAACTCTCCGTTTAGGGAACGATGTAGCCTACATGACGCCAACTATACTGCCATTTTGACTCTTGCCAATTGATTATCATGCAAGGTTCGTGAGCAGTGGCTCACAATTGTGACTATGTGACTATGCGCTTTTAACTTCACCGGAAATAAAATGTGTTTAAACCGTTTCGCGAACGAGTGTACCCGCACACTAAAATAATTTTTTCGCCATGGCGGCGCGCGCCTCGGCCTCTGTACAGTGCTCTCTCTTTTTATAAATAATTCTTATAAATTATTATAATATAGTCTCTACGTTTCTTCCTTCGTTCCGACATAAAAATCATACAATGTACATAATGCTCGCTTACGGCAATTCACCTTTTAATACTGCGGGTAATCTTGCCCTCCGCTTTAATAGTGTGTGTCTGTATAACGGCATTCCCGACCGGTCTCGCTTTAATCTCTCTCGGGATTCCTCTCCGCGCGTAATCTGAAGAGGAGCTGTCAATGTTGCAGCGACGAATCGAAGAGTTCGAAAGGTTTAAGCTAACTTAATACTCTAGTAAAGAGGTAAGTTTCAGCTGCCCGGGTAAGGCATTTGATCCGGAAGGGCGGACGAGTGATTCTGGTTGGGACTCTGATGGAAATGCGGACTGCTGCCGTCCTGTGAAATCTGCGAAATCTCGCCGACCACCGATTCCTCGTACTTCCCCCTCTTGAAGCGTCCGTACAGCGAGGAATATGGCAAATTGTAGTGGATCGCCGCTTGATTGATGCTCATGTGCCCTAATCTGAAATTATAAATTGGTATTATAATGTGTGTAAATTTGTAAATATATATATATATATATATATAATATATAGTATAATATATTCTTGCCAACAAATATTAAATTTAGTAGAAAAAGTACATTAACTCAGAGTATCTTTAAAATGTATATTTAATAAAAATAGTATAAGAATATAATGCAGGTTATCCTATTTTAATTGCTCCAGGCAAATATCTCGAAAAATAAGGAAGATGCGGGAAAACATTTCAAACAAGATTTGTAGGTTTTGGAGCGGGACATAAGTTGGTGATCTTAACTCTGTTATAGTCAATAATTTAAGGTCAACTTCATTTTTAAAAAATAGAATATAGCTTTTCTTTTAACACAATTTGATTCCTTTGTTCATTTTGCGTATAAAAATTCCAGACTAAAATCATCGAAAAGTGAATACTTTACGAGATATTTTATTTTGATACTTTTCATTACAAAATATGAAATATCTCACAAAGTTCACTTTTTGATAAAATCATCTTAACACTTGTAGAGGGACAGGTGGAATCGATCATTATAAGCAAATATAGAGAAACCTTAAAAAAAATTCAGTGCATTTTGCATCGATACACCATTGTGTAAAGATTAATATCAATAATCGATTTCTCTTATATTATTACGTAGAAGTCTTAAGGTAATGTTATTGAAAAATAAATACTTATATAGATATATTAGAGTAATAGAGATATAGAAATATTTCATATCATACGAAAGATCTCTTATATGAAAGGTATCCGAATGAAAGGTATCCGAATAAAAAGTAGAATATCTCGAAAAATATTCACTTATTGATAATCTTACTCTAGTATTTTTATATGTAGAGTGAACAGAGGAATCGATTTGTATTAAAAAAACTATATGATTCTATTTACAAAAATGATAGCCCTTTTAAACTCACTTAAGTTTAAAACATTTTTCTGTAAAATTGATATTTATTAAGTTATTTTACATAGCAATTTCAAGTACCTCATCCTGTTTATATACATATAAGAATATAGAGTACGTACACTATATAATATAGCAGATAATATAAAGTATTGCAAGAAATATACTTAAAGTTAAAATAGAATAATTGATAAAAATAACTAATGAAGAATTACGGAGGGTAAAAATAAGAAAATTCACTCAACAAATTTGATAGAATTGGAAGGAACTTTGGCTGGAATTTCAGAGAATGCCCCGAGCATCTTCCGAGAAGTCTACGTTTGCTCGCCAATATTGATTTGAATCAATGAAGTTGGCGAACAAGTAACACCAATTTATTCAAAGTATACGAACTTTGACACAAGCAGTAACTAGCGTTAATTATAAAAAAAAACTTGCTTATTACCTGACGGCCTCGAGAGCTTCAGTCATCGCGTCTTCGCTCCACGGTGTGGGGTTACTTCTGCTGAGTTCGATCCCCTCCCGCTTACATCGTCCGTACAGCGTGCCGGTCGGGATGCCGAATTCGGTGGACGCTCTCTGTACGGACGTCTGGCCGGATCTTATCGCTTCCAGAGCGCGATCCAAATCGGCGGGCGACCATGTCGTGGGACTCGCGTTGAACGGTGCAGCTAGCCTGATGCCTTCCCTTCTGGCGATCTTGTACAACGTGCTGGAAGGTATACCGAACGCCTTGGACGCTTTATTGGCCGAGATAGTGCCGGTGCGCAACGCTTCCAAGGCGTTGTTCAGGCTCTCGTCGCTCCAGGACTTCGTGGGACCGTCTTTCTTCGGCGTGTCGATACCTAGCCGATGCGCCCGTTGCCACAGTGTCGTCGATGGAATGCCGAATGTTGCTGAAACGTCAATATGGATCTGCTCATACGTGCGCTCGTTTTCTCTCCTTAGATCTTATAAGAATGCAACGTAAGAATTAACATGGAAAATAATTAATGCAAGGAACGGTATGCTCAGTCACAGAAAAAGGTTGCAACACTCTGCAACACTGCATTCTATTTTCATCCAATAGGAGAATTTGTTTTTTTAGTAATTCTCAGGAGATACCTTTTCCTATTGGATCCCAGCAAACATCAAGTACAGTAACATTATATCAATATTACAATTTCCCACTGAATAACACAACCGTTATGTATAGCGTGTGTTATATTGTATTTACATTGTTAAGTTAGAAATGATAACATTGATATTAATATTACTGTTACTTGACGCTTGCTCGGGATATGAGACGCGACACTTGTCGAAAAAAAGTGCTGCAACCTTGTGACTAATCACAATACTTTTTTATATTTGATAAAATACAGTTAACATTCTAAGCTACTTTTTGTACACGTTATATCGTATATGACTTACAGTCCCAGACATATTATTAGGCGCACTTTGATTTTTTAATAGAATACAGGAGAAGATTAGGAGAAGAAAAACTACTAATTTTATATTCACTCGATTAGAATAATTTCGGTATCAATCAGCGCTTTTACCTCTGCAACCTCCCGAGGTGTCAAATCATTTGTTTTATCTATAATTTTTGTAAACAATATTAATATTTTTTACATAAAAATTAATTTTTCTGTTATCAAGCAAGGAATTTGAAGCTTCAAAAATATAACTAAATTCAATTGACACGCACTCCAAACTCTTTTCTCGTTATTATCAACAATGCAACTAGCGCAGATTCAGACTTGTTCTAGGTCATTGTAACAGCCAAGTGAAATGACGTCATAAAAATATCTTTTATAGAATAATATTTCCTTAACATAATTCGATCGATAGATGAGCCGTATTATAAAGCTAGTCTTCGGAAGTCAATGAAATGTGAAAAATCAAGGTGCGTCTAGTAATATGGCCAGGGACTATACGCGAAGTTATCGTTATTATTATCAAATTAAAGTATGATGAATCGCGTCGTGACAATTCGGCTTAACGATCGCGAAGAATTGACTGTATATTAATTTCCAGTTCGATCTACGTAATAAATACACGGAAAAAAATGATCTCCCAGAAACTAGCTGTCCATATAATACAACATATTTAATTAATTAATTATTTTTTTCCGTGTACGACTATAATCATAATTGTATAGGGCTCAAATCATAAGAATTAACTCCCGCAGCGAAAAACTAAGTCTGATAACTAAATTTCATTTGTATTATATGGTTAGCTAATTTTTAGCTGTGGGAGCTGATTATTTTTTCTATGTAATCTAATAAGCATCAACTGTTATACCATGTGAACTAATAAGTAGAGAGAGAGAGAGAGAGAGAGAGAGGGAGAGAGGGAGAGACAAATATCTATGAAACGTGGATTAATTTGATCTCCTTACAGGAGGCTTTCGTCAGGCTCATGTCGTGGTTCCTCAAGGCTTCCAGAGCCGCGTCCATGTCCTCTTGCGTCCACGACTTCGAGCCGTGATGGTGCGAGCTGGACTGTCCAGAGTGGCCCCTCGAATTATTCTCGCCGGAGTCCGAGTGCACGGAACTGCCCGATGGCATCAGCCCGAGCAGCTCCGGCGTTATCATCATCATGTTGTCACTGTCGGCGGCATTCTTCGAGCTCACGCTAGCCCGATCCGACATGTGGCTGTCTATGTCAATCGTGTCCGATGAGTCCATCGTGTGTAACGTCTCGAATTTTATCTTGACGCTGTCGCAATTCTGAATCTCTGCGAACAAGTCGCGAGAAAGGGACATGATACACAGCTCGGCGCTTCGCCACATTAGGAATCGAGATAAACTTCGCGACGGTACATCCCCGTCCGGGGGATTCGCGGGCAAAAGCGCGAACCTGGCACTTGGGGATCAATGTGTGTGTGTGAGAGAGAGAGAGAGAGAGAGAGAGAGAGCTGTCGAAGGCGAAACTGGACGCGGACGTTAAACGAGGTTGCATGGGCTGCCTACGAGCAACGCAAATCTAATCGCGACCAGTTAAGCGTGATTAGGCCAATTATTTTGATTCCCTGTCCGCCTAATGACCGGCTGCACTTTCAGCCCGGTAATGTTCTAACCCTACCCACGTCGCACCCCGACGTCGTCGTCAAGAGACGAATGAAAACGTACGACGACGATCGTGTCGAGCAGACCGAGTGAATGGGAGAGACAATGTATCACGACGATGAGACGCGGGACTTGCGCGCATAGTCGCGAACGGCGACTGTATACACCGAATGTTTAATCATCGAGGGAAAACCGACGACCGAGACGCAACCCCCCGGAAACTGCAACTACGGTTTCTTTGCTTTTTGCCTAACGAAGCCCTCCAAACGGATATACTGGAAGATCCAGGAAACTTAAAGAAGATGCTCTTTAAATTTGCCGGCAACTTCACAAAGCAACTTGAAGTTATTCTTTAAAGCATAACTTGAAGCCATTCCTTCAAGGAATATAACTTTAAGTTATCCTTTAAAGCGACGACATTAAGTTATTCTTTTGAGCAATAACTCTAAGTCATTCTTTAAGCAACAACTCCAAGTTATTCTTCAAACGTTCCTCGAAATCTGTGTATCAGTTCTTTTCTTCAACTTAATTCCACAACTCGTGTGCGTGCCTCCGGCGTAACTTCTTTTTCGGGACTGAACCCGCTTGAATCGCGCATCTGCGTCGCGGTTTTTTGTTCCGCGGCCGCTCATCAACGGAAATGAGATAGAACGTTCAATTCGTTCGCCAAGGAATGCGCAAAGTGACCGGCGCTTCGCTACAACTTTCTCTAGGTTTTTACTCAGTTCGCACAGTATGTTTATCCACGATTGCGACAATCGTCGTCGAGAACCGCCGAGTCCTGAACAATTCAAGACGCGTCAAGTTTTATATACCTGTAGAATGATGATCCGGATCTCTCAGGTGGGTGATGGTGGTGCCGACTAAGGTAGCGCTGGGCGGAGTAGGTTGCGTCTCAGGGGGTAGATCGACCTCTCCGGGATCCGGATGATGGCCATAGTGACCTAGCCCTGTGTGACAGAACATGTCACCTTTTTATTCGAAGTGAAAAGGGTCTGTCCTGGCCGGCCCTGAAAGCGGTAAAACGCCCCACACCTGGAACTTGGCCGGGTGATCGCGCGCACGTGAATCTACAACGAGGTGTTCTTCGCCAGACTTGAATTATTACTTAAGAACAGCGTAAGTGAGAACGATACTCTGACGTGACTGCTAAGCGGAATATGTAAAATATGTAATTGACTTCCACATCGAAAATACTCAGAAGATTTTTCGAACGGAAGACTGCGAATCGAGCGATTCGTACAGATTCTGCTTTCTGATCGGACAACTTTCTTCTAAAACAACGATTATGGCAAATATATTTTTGAAAAGCACTAAAAAATACGAATCGAGAATTAATGCACCGAGTCTCGATTAAACTGACGAATTGATTCTACGAGATGGCAAAAATGTATCGACAGCCGATAAGACGAGAAAATAGATTCTTTGTCGATATAAGACGACCAGGTGTGGGGCGGAAGCATCAGTTGAATTAACTTACCGTTGTTGTTGTTGTTGTTATTCGCGCCGTTACCGTTGTTATTGTTATTATTGTTGTTGTTATTGTTGTTGCGCTGGCAGGTATCCAGTACTACTGCTGCTGTTGGTGTCTCCGTGCACTCATCATCTTCGGCTTGCCAGTCCCGGTGGTTCTGTGGAATATCCGGTACGAATTTAGCGCTCGACCCTGACGAGATCGAACCGCCCGACGACACGGGACGGCTGGTTGCGTTTCTACGTTTTCCCGGAGCTTTCCACCTGCCGTTTCTTCGCGTTTCCAGACTAGTCAATTCTCCGCTACTATGGCTAATTTGGATATCTCTATATGCTGACCGCGGTCGGTCTTGATCTTAACTCTTTGTTGGCACACTTATTTTTTGCTGCTTAGTTCAGCACACTGGTTCTGTGAGAACCAGTCACTTTTGCGATATGAGTTAAATATCAGTAAATGCCTTAGTTATATCGGTAAATGTGCTTATCTAATGTACGGCTATTATAGTTTTGAACGCATAGAAGGTAAATTTTAAAAAATTGTCGCAGTCATTATTTTACAAATAGGTAATTTAAAGTATGAGAAGAGATAATGTTATATTAATTATTAATTATATTAAATATTAATTCGAAATAGAAAGAAGTGAAAAATTTTGTATGCTTTGAGAGAATTCCGTGTTTACATAGGCTATAATTCAAGATTCAACAACTATGGCATTTTAAGGAGATTGTAAAGTTCAGTGTCGTATTTTCAGTGGTGCACCAAGGGCGCAATTTTAATATTTATCAAGCAAAATTACTTTTCTATACATTTATTTCATTAATACCTAAATAATAAATGTTAATTTGAAATAAAGTTTAGGTAAACATATGTAAAATATTACAAAATGAAGATATTATTAATGTTATTTTTCTTATTAATGCTATATTTATACATCAATTGATCTAACAGATTGCACAAATAATAAAAAGAGGTATATGTATTTCGAGTGTTTAATAANTTCACACTGTTATATTTTCAAAAGAAAATGGTCGATAAAATTTTGAAATTTATGTATAATATTTGTATATTAGTCTTTAATATCATAGTAGTTTTTTGTCAAGATCTTATTTTTAGTTTAGAAAATATTAAAAATAGAAATAAAGAATAGCACGCTAACTTCAAGGAACACATATAAAGTGTCAACTTTAATTGCAAATATCTCGAACGGCCAATCTTTTTCTGATTGCACGAGCAGTTAGATAATATTTCAACATATATGTAATACAAGTTTCATCAAACTCTTATCAAACTCATTTCGCCTTATAACCTTCTTAATTTTTCGTTTGGATCAATAAGAGCCAGACTAAGGTTAATGACTAAGGTAAATGGCTTTGCATCTAATATCAAGTGATGTTGCTTTAGAAGCGTCACATGAAATCTCTTGCAAAATTCTGTCTTCTCTTACAAAATTTATATTTATATCATTATATTTTTACTGGATTCTACAGAATAGGCTAAATAAAGCGTTACAAGCTATTATCTCTGAAAATAGGTAACGCAAATTTTTTTTAGAAAAGTTGTTTGGTTTGAAGAAGGAAAAAAGATAGAGATATTAATTTCATTTTGGATGGACGTACCAAAGCCATATCAAGGTTACCATGAAATTTTTTAATAGAATCATATAGTTTTTATAACATATATCGATTATCCTAGTCATTGTGTGTATAAAAGTATTACAATAAAATCACCGAAAAATTGATACTTTCCAAGATATTTTACAATTTATTTCGATATATTTAATATATGATATGAAATATCTGATAAAGTATTCACTTTCCGATAACCTCACCTTAAGACTTATTTATGTAAAATGACGCGTGGAATTGATTATTATAAGTAAATATGGAGAAATCTTGAAAAAAAATGCATTGCATTTGACAAACACATCGATGCACCAATGTGTAATGATTAATGTCAGTAATCAATTTCGCTCATATTATTATGTAGAAAAGTGTTAAAGTGATATTATCGAAAAGCGAGTACTTTGAGATATTTCATATTTTGTGCTAAAAAATATTAAAACAGAAAAATAGTTAATATCTTGAAAAATACTCACTTTTTGATAATCTTACCCTAATACTTTTATACGCAAAATGAACAGAGGAATCGATTTGTGTCAAAGAAACCATATGACTCCGTTTAAAAAAATTCATGATGACCCCGATATGATCTTGTCACGTCATCTATCCAAGGCCAAATTGATATCCTTATCTCTTTTCTTCCTTCGAATCAAACAGCTTTTATCTAAAAAGAAATTTTTGCTGTGACGTGTACACTTTCAGAGATAATAGCTTGTGATACTTTATTTCGCCTACTCTGTACATACGTATGAAAAATAAGAGAGAAAGACTTGAGATAATATTACAGCGATACGATAAGTCATATTACAGCAATAAGATAAACTAATACCGATAATTAATAATATTCGGCGTGAGACTTCGCATATTTAAATAGATTCAAGCAGATTGAAACTTATATTCTTACCACACATCGGCGAGAGAGACGCTAATGACAAAATTGTAAACGCGAATCGAGCATTCTCGCCGAATATACTACGCCGCGACGAGGCTTTTCAATCGGGATTAGATTTTCCTAATCGAGTATCACTCTCTTGAATCAAGGTTTCAACACTTGTAACTCCGTCGCAGGTCAGCAATGTTACCTCTTTATTATCGCGGCTGTAATCTTCGTTGACTTCCTCCTCTTTATAACGCTCGTAATGTCTCGGGTCGGTGGCGCGTGGTTCGAACGTGGTTCTTGGCCGCTTGTACCGCGGATGGTGCTTCTTCAACTTTGTGTAGTTCAATCTCGGGGTGCCGGACTCCCTCGGTGGCGAGCTCAAGCTTACGGACGGCGGACCGTCTCGGCTCTCCGGCACCTCGCAGAGACCCTTGATCTTCAGCTGGTCGGCCGTCTTCAAAAGTGACTGTAAAAACGAAAGTCGCCTTAAGTCACACACGTTCTGATATAAAATTTCCTTTCAAATCTCCCCCCGTCGATTCGAGAATTTCGTCGACTTACGGATATTATCGCGCCCTATCTCTGAGAATATGAAAGTTAACGCGGTGGTGTGTAAATATGTCATAACTACCGTCGTTTATAGCAAAACGTTTAAAAAGCCGAGTATATCCTTCTTTGGAATTTCTGCTTATATCACACATGTTCCAGATCGTAGATCTGATAACAGAAGACTCAACTTTGCTCTTAAATCGAAACATCGCCTACTGGATAATAAATTCCCGGCTTGACGGAACTATCGTCATTTCGGTGCGAAGGTTAGCGTATGTCGCAACGTACGTACATTCGGATTGGCTTATCGCGCGGTTAAGTGATTAATTCAGAAATTATCGCGATCGGGATATTGAAACGCGAAGGCCGCGCCCAGAGGATCAAGGCGCGGACGCGGAATAGAAAAATATTCATTTCGGTAAACCGCTTTGCGAGAGGCGGACGAAGGACCGCGCGAGTCCGGTCCGATTGGATTTGCATATTTCTCGCGCGCGCGAGAGCTCGTCGTTCCAGCATCTCTCGTTCCGCCCGGCGGCGGTGCAATTTCATCTCAACGGCGTGGCGACGACGGCGGCGACGTCGAGTACCGTCCACCCACCCAGCCGTCCGTCGTCGTCGCTCCGGAAAAATCAGCGCCGGCGATCCAGTTTCGGCGAGTCGCGATTCGCATCACGATGTCTCGCACTTCTTTGCCGGCTTTACCTTCTCAACAATTCACGTCCAATGCCATCGATAGAAAATTACGTCATCGAGGTGAACCAGTCGAATAAACGAATCTGATCGAAAAGGAAGGATATACGTGACGCTTTAGAGAAACTTAAAGCCAGTCTGATATATTCGAGACATTAAACATTTAATGGCGTTATAGTATGCAACGAAGAAATTTCTCACGGACATGGCGCGGTGTTGAACGCAGCTTAAAACGGTGCATTTTACTAAGATTTTACTGAGATTTTACTAAGATTGAGAATGATTTGTTAATTCCTCGACACAATTCAAATCAGGTTGATAACGAAGTACGCTTCAAAAAGCGTGTCCATTTTAAACGTCTGTGCGACATGCCGAGATTTGCAGAAAGGATCGCTTTAAACTCGCGATGTAGATCTCACAGAGTAACCTTGACATCTAGACGCGACGCGGAAGAGAGAAGGAAAGAGAGAAGAGAGAAATTTAAGAGACGAATGAACGACGAAAGCGGGGAAGCGGAGGACACGGGGAAGATGACAGACGCCTCCTCCGCGTGCTGAAGCGACAGAGTCGCGTGGCTTCGCGGGACATTACGACGTCCACGTGGCCGACTTTACACGAAGGACCTCGTTCGGAAGAACCTTGTGAATCTTGTGACTAAAGTGTGAAAGGAAGAAAAACGATGACGGACGGGTACAGCAAAAGAACGAGATAGACACCGTAGTGAAGAAGGAGGAAGACGAAGAAAGAGAGAGCGGGGAAGGGATGAGAAAGAAAAGATGCACAGAGAGATAGAGAGAGAGAGAGAGAGAGAAAGAAGGAAAGAGAAGAAGCGAGAGAAGAACTAACGGCAGCGACCCTCGCGCCGAAGCCGAGCCTCTCTGTTCTTTAATCAAGCCGGGGGTGGCACGATTAGGCGGGGTCTGCGCGGTTGCTGGTGGCGTGAGAGTGGCACCGGCAGGGTAGCGGGAGGGAGGATGGAAGGAGAACGAGGGCCGGGGGACAGAGGAAGGTTGCACCGACGAAGAGGGGGAGGGGAGGGGGGTGTCGGTGGCGGCTGGAACGCGTTGCGTGGGTGGAGGACGGGGAGGAGGATCGGGTTGGATGGATTGAGGGAGTGTGACGAGAGGGAGGGAGGGAGGGCGAGAGGACGTGAGAGGACGTGAGAGAAAGAGAGAGAAAGTGCACGAAATGCAGAAAGAGCGAGAAAGTAAAAGAGGGAGTACGAGAGGAACTCAGGACAAGAGGGGTGGAAGGGTGAGACGAGCAACGAGGGAGAAGGAGACAGAGAGAGAGAGAGAGAGAGGGGAAGGGTGAGAGGAGAGAGAAAAATTCAGAGAGAAAGCAAGACGCAGACAGAATAAGAGAGTACACCGGGGGGAAAGAGGAAACGACGTAGCGCACACGGATTGTGGAGAAAGAGGGACAGAGGTGAAACGCGGCAGAGGCAAAAACGCCTGCAGGAAGAATGGGGAGGCCTCCGACGCGGCTGTCGCGGCCCCAGGGCCGTATCGACCACCCCCAACCCCCGACGCGCACTCGCTCGGTCTCGCTCTTTCCTCGACGCTCGCGACAGCATCGACACCAATGACTTCCAAGCGTTTCCACGCGCGCACACGTCCACCTGTCCTTTTCGCTCTCTCTCTCTCTCTCTTCCTCTCACTCACTTTCTCACTCTCTCTCATTCGCTCCCTCTCTGTCTTTCGTTCTCTCACTCTTGCTCGCCGGCTCGTTACGGCCGGGCGTGTGCACGGCCGCCCCGAAACGTCCGCGGATCTTCGATCTCGGCGGCTCGGGAGTTTGATGGCGCTGGTCGGGTCGCGGGGCACGCGATAATCGAGCGTCTCCGTCGGGGCGAACGAGCGAGCGAGCGAGCGAGCGGCCACCCCCGACGACGACAGCAGCGCGGCTTTTGGCAAGGAGGATCGCGCGCCCCGGTTCTCGGCTGCCCTGGGCTGCGCATTTAGCGCCAAATGTGGCAATATTCTCGGTACCATGGACGCACAATAGGATCTTTACATTCCAGGCATCGTGTTGAGAAATGTCATGCTGCATTGATACGTTAAAAAAAACGTCGAGTCTCCTTGCGAAAATTTTCATCTTAGGAGAAAACGTCGGAGAGTCTATCCTCCGAAAAAATTTTCCCGACCTACCTTACTCTCACTTTGGCATTTGACAAAGTGTTGACTATAAGATTGGCAAAGTGACGAGGCTTTCTAAATTCAGACAAAAGCGATAACGACATTTATTTCGCTTTTAATAACTTCCATGGTAAGTTAAGATCAAAGAGAGTCGTACAATCCCAGCGACTTATTAATATTCGCAGAGTTTTCCCTGTTTTCCACGAGAGTGACAACTCGCCGTCGGACAAAGTCGGTTGTAGAAACGGTCTCCGTCACTTTTTCTTCCAGTGCTACAACCGCTTTCACGTTTGTGCGATTGAAGGACAGCCGACAACGCGTGCCGTATGATGCATGACGTTTCGTAATTTAAGTACGCATTAACTGTTAATGCAACGTTAACAGCGTTCGGTCGATGTTAAATCGAACGGTCCCCATAATTGGGACAAAACTGTCTGGCGTCAAATTTTATCATGTCAAAATTACTGAATGTGTCGATAAGGATTAAGCTTAATTAGCGACTACACGTGAATTTCTACTTCTTACAGTTTTAGCCGACGTATAAAATGAAATTCAACATAACGCATTGCAGTGTAAAGCTTTGGTAACGGAATGTCAATATACGAGAGAAAAAAAGAAATTCGCTTTGCGCAATTATTCGCACATACAGCATACACACCATTAAATATTATGATGCGCCGCTTTGACGTTTAATGTACTTTATATTTTGTTAAAAACTTTAGCATTTTAATTCAATGGGATTACGACAATTTGCAGTGGTCAAATAAAGCGGAAGAGTCAAAGAGCAAGCAAACTCGTGACGATGGCACAGCAATAAGGGGAAAGAGGCCGTCCCGACACTCACCTAGATGCAAACAACAAATCTGTCTATATAACCGTGTGACCGAAAATTGAAAAATATCTGAAGGTACCTGCGCTCGAAATTCGTAGAAACCGATATATCGATTGAACGTTACGATTACAGAGCCCGCACTGCTATTGCAAAAATGCGTGCTGCCACGCGTACACCGAATTAATTGGCTATTAACAATTGAAGGGTATATCACCGAGCTTTCCACTCGAAATTAATCAAAATCAAGACGACGGATAATTGCGAATTTCACGATCTGTTGTTGGCCGTACAATTAATTGCGAATCGAAGTTCTAAAGATATCCGGAAAACTTTCAAAATTAATAAACTACATATACCAAACACGAACTGCCAGGGGTTCCGCAACGCGCGAGAAGCGATCGATCTCTCCTTGCGAGGGACGCGTCGCACGGTAAATCAAATTCGGCGGAGACCGAACACAACGGCGGGAGAGGACTCGTCGGTCGCGATGAAATTACCGCGCCAATGAGTCGTGTCTTCGTGTATCCGAACGAAACGAAACGGGACGCATCGTACGTAGCGCGCCCGGTTCTCGGCGGAATTCTCTCGATGGAATTTCATTCGTGGTGTCGTTGCACGGATTCACGGATGAAAGGATTCGGGAGGAGAGGCAAGAGATAGGTGGATGGATAGACGGAGAGATAGGGGGAAACAGAGAGAGAGGGAGAAGGGGGGGGAGGGGAGAAGGTCGCGGGTTCGATGTGGGGTAGGCTCGGATTGCGCTCGCGAGAGAAATGGCGTTTCGTAGTTCAATTAAATAAATAAAGGGCGGAAAAACCTTTGCCGACACGCGGTGCTTTAACGGCGACGGCACTTGGAGAACCACGGACGAGGGTTGCGCCAGAGGGGGGAGGGCTGCGGAGGGCAGAAGAGGGAGTGCAAGAGGACCTCTCTCTCTCTCTCTCTCTGCGGGAGCTAGGCGGCGGCGGCGGTGGCGGCGACGGCGGTGACGGCGGGGCGGGTGGATGGTTGGTTGGTCGGTTCGGAGGTGGATGCATAGGGGGTGGTGCCATCGGTTCGGAGGCAAGAGGGACAGAGCCACCGGCAGAATCCGACCTCACCAATCAATACTTAGGGTTCAAGGGCATCGGCCGACCAATTATCCCCGGACTAATTGACGCGAGACGGCGGGAAAAAAGCCCCGGTCCCCGGGAGCTCCACTTCCGGTCGCGCGTTCACCCGCCGTCTGCGTTTTCTTCCGCGGCCCACGGGAACGAG